AATCAATATTACAATCTATGACTAGTTCTATTAAAAAGCAATATAAAATTTAAATAAACATACTAAATGAATCCCTTCTACGTTGAGATGGATAGCATGCAAATTAAATAGTTAAATATTATAAATATATACTCCAATGTTAACATTTCCCTTACCTTTTTAACCTTCTTTTCTAGTTACTCAAACTCTGCTTATTTTGTATATTTAAACATTTTACACATTTATGAACCCTTTTTATGTTTCAAGTCACTGAACAAACTTAGCAATGCTATCTGAGATAATTAGGCATTGATATGAAAGCAACAGAAAAATATAAAACTGCCTTAATAAAATAAAATCCAACTTCTGACAAATTTCATTAGCAAGAAGACAGGACATAGTAATAGTAACATTCTAATAAAGATGAGTAGGGAATATTGTTAATGAACCTTGTACACTGTTTTGCTGTCATTACGTTAACTGAGTTATTAACTGAATTAGTTGCAATCCAATCCACTGTACTGCCTAGGCTAACAACCTGTGGTCCATGCACCACTGGGGGGCCGTGTTGCCACCACAGGGGATCCACAAAGGCTTGAAGAAATGTTATGATAAATCTTAATTTAAATCTTGGTGGGCTGCCACAAAAGGTTTTTAAAGGGGGGGGGGTCTATGGTAAAGAAAAGATTGGGAACCACTGGACCACAGGATTAAGTGACCTCTCTTCCTGGCAGCAATTCTAGAAGATTCCCAAATATGCTCTAGGATCCTGGGAGACATAGGAACGGAAGCTTAATAAACTGTGATTGCTTAATATTCAATTGACTTTATTTCATTTTCTATATTTTGCCTTGTTCTATGAATCATTTATTATACAAGGTAAACATTCTTATCTTTCAAATTAAGAGCTATCTTGTTTTCCTTTATAATGATTTTAAAAAGAAACTTGTCTATGAAACAGTATTCTAAATTCTTCACTAATCTTTTCCAGTATTCCTCACCTCTTTCCTCATATTTTTGATGGTTTTTAATTCTCTTTTCTTGAGTACTTCATGATCTATTACTTTACTGTAAAACTTGAAAATGCGATCCTTCTATAGATTTGTTCTACAAGCTTCTGTCTTAATATAGGATTACTTTGTATTTTGAATACAAAATAATGAAATTATTTTTAAATAATGAAACTATTTCTGAAATACCTCTTTGAATCTTTTTAAAAATATATTACTTGTCTTCCATATTACCATATTATCAGTTTCAGTTATTCTAGTGCTTTGTTCCAGTTTAGTATTTAATCATTATAACTATTTAATCTAGGTGAGAATGATGAATATGGAAGACCCCACAGGCCTTTAGAAAGGCAATCAAGACCTGGCTTTTTCCCTAGAAATTGTGTTATCATGAGTAGAGCCTCACGCACATATGTTATAATGTATTTCAGTACTCGCCAATTTATTATATTAGTTTGGCTTTAATATTATCCATTGTTTTCCTATATGTTTTCTGTTTATTGTTCATTTTTGTATGCAACTTAGAGTTATACGGTTTCAGTATGGCAGCCATAAATAAAGAACTAACCAGTGGGTGCCAAATTCTGAACAACCACTATCAATATATCCAGGAATGAGAAACAATGGTAATTCTAATCTGATATTTAATGGGTTTCAATTTTAAATCTATATCTCTGACAAAAATTATGCTCAGAACAATTTAATTATGTTTTTAAAATATTTAATTTTGCCTAGTTTGCCTAGTTTCTTTTATCCTTTGAGTTAGAGTCTAGACTCAAACTTTATGGATTGAGACTAAAAATTAAAAGAAAAATGTTACTACTTTACACAGACATTAGTTTAATAAAGATGTAGGATATTCCTACTTTATCTTAGAATTCTTTTTTACTTTTTCTATAAAAAAATGATATTTCAATTCATTTCCCTTTTTTAAAAAAATCAAAAGTTTTTATATTTTATTTCCAATACAAATACCCAAGGATTAATGTCTCTACTCCTGAACTACTAATATTCATCTACTCATTACACAATATCCTAAATAGTTACTCTCTTATCCAGAAGCAAAAACTATTTACAAATAAACTAAGCCTTTTCTAGATTTCAACTAGCCCCGATATAATATTCAGTCATTATACATTTCAGGCTATGTGCACATAAAACATTTGACATTGCCAATGCTATCCACTTTTTCCCATATTAGCTGGATTATATCAGAAGACTAACAACATTTTCATTGTGTATTTTAAAATGTATATGCTTTTTTCCTGTCATTCTCTTTTTTGTTGTCATTTGGAAAGTGCCAGGAAAGGAAAAAAATGAAGGGACTAAGTTAAATACACATATAATTTGTAATTAATATCTCTATCTCATTTTAATGCACTGGTTGAAGCAAATCTCCATTTTAATACCTTAGCTGAAATGAAATGAAAGCATAATGTATTTAATACAGATACTGCATCTAGTAAAATATTTAAACGCACCATAGGAATTGGTCTGTATTGGACAATGAAAATTATGTAGAGTACTGAAAGAAGGATGGCATTTGTATAGAGGAAATGAAACAACTGAGCCCCAAATTTCTCTCTAACAGTGTCAATAATAATGCACAATTTGGATATCTTAAGCTGTAAATCTAGATGTGTGTGTGTGTGTGTGTATATATATACACACACATACATACATACACACACATACACACACACACACACACACCTAGAACAACTACTCCCTTAATTGCTAGGCAAATTTATACTTCAACTTAAACAGGAAGACATATTTTCTAGGCAAACAAAAGAACAAAAGGAGACAGAGAAACATGAAAACTTAGTGAACAGGAAGCAAGACAGGAAGCAAATAACCTATCAGAAATGCACGGGATGTGTTACAAGCTTGGATACCAGATACAAGCAGAAAGGAAGTTCTTTCTGTACGGGCTTTCATGGTCTGAAGAATGACTTAGAACAAACTATCACAAAAAAGGGGGGAGAATTAACCATTAAATCTATATGGCTAAGGATGACTGACAATGTTGCTCAACACACCTTACAGAGAGATGAGGCTAGAGGAGGATGAAGTGGTGACGAATGTAGGAAGTCACTTCCTCACCAACCCCTGACAAAAAGACTTTATTTTCTTGTCTCTTCACACCATTCATAACTGCTATTTGAAATATATTTGAGTGCCAGTGGAAAAAAGAATTTATTAGTATAGATTTAGAAAGACCTAATTAAAATATATGCTCATACATATTGTTACACACACTAAAGTGGGCTTCTATATAAATGAGAGGCACATTAACAATATTTTTCACTAAACCCGTGGATATACTCAGGATAAGAACGTATTTCCCTTGCAGTGAGATCTTACACTGATAACAGAAATACAAACTGAATGAAAGCATGACAAAAGGAAACAAAACCTGTACAGGTGGTTCTTGAGTTACAACAGCAGAAAGGAAGAGGATTGCTATTGCTAAGTGATGACATCAAAAAGTACAAAGTCCTGTGATCGCATCGCTTAGCATTGGCAATCCAAGGAGTCCTGGCTGATGTTATCATCCCAAGACACATGAGTTGTTAAATCCCAAGTGAAGACTGTGGAATTACTGTTGGGGGTTGGGGAGGCCCTGGGAGGGCTGACACAGGCTGTATATAAGTTGGGGAGTAAGATGCTGTAGGCATGGGTATATGCAAGTACAGGGAGGTCTAAGGAAGGAGGGCAGAGGGTGCATGCATACAAGACCAGGGAAGACCAGAGAAGGAGGACACAGTGTAGTAAACAGGGGAGGGACTTTTCAGGCCACAAATTTCAAAATTGTCATTGGGGTAGGAAGTTGAATCTAAAACTTTCTTTTGGAGAATAAGTGGGGCTTAATATATCACAGAAGGGGTTCCTTTGAAGCTGCCTTTGTTAAAGAATCAGAAGATTTTCAATTTGTTCCTTATTTGCTGGGTATTTAAAAAAGTAATCTGACATTTGAGTAAATAATTAAATTAACCATTATTTGTTTGTTTTTGTCACTCTTTTATACTATGACCTACTATGTCAGGTGCAAACAATACATTAAAGATTTACAAAATATAAAGATTACTTAATTTACAAAATACTAAAAGAAAAAAAAGAACATTCCACTATTGCTCATACAAGTCACATTAGATTGGAACAATCAAATGACAGATTAGTTCTTTATGAATATATAGTCACCCTGGACAAGGAGAACAATCAAAATAACAAGAATTAAAAGCTAAAATAACATGACTTAATAATTTTTAACTAATCGGAAGCAGTCTAACTTTATGGTCAATCATGCAAAGTCCTTTAAAACCTATGATGAGAGAAATCAGAATTTCAGGTGTGGCAGAATGCTATATGAAGACCTATAAACAGTTTCCGAAGTAAAGTTAGCAATTCACTTTTTTGGAGGGAGGGGGAGGGGACGACTACTAATGGTTGTCAGCAATTGTATTGTTGGGGAGGCTTTACAGTTGCACAAAAAGAATCAGAGACCACATACACACACAAAATATATATATATAAATAAATATAAATATAAAACAAATAAGGCCTGCCCCAAATACCACCCAAAGTCTGACAGGGCCTCAGCTGGTATAAATGGACACAGGAAAAATATCCAAGGGCTTTGCTAATTCCCTAAAAATTAAGGCAAAATTGAAAACAATCCAGAACAAAGTCTCTGAAGAAATGTAAAACTAGTACATCATAATTTCTTACCCTGCCCTTATGTGCTACATATAGTCAAATGTTGCATGAACAATCGTATTTATAAATCATTTTGAAACTGGGACAATTCATGTTGTTCATAGTCTAATGAAAAGAAGGGAGACATGATAGCAGTCTTCCAATATCTCAGGGGCTGCCACAAAGAAGAGGGAGTCAAGCTATTCTCCAAAACACCTGAGGGCAGGATAAGAAGCAATGGATGGAAACTAATCAAGGAGAGAAGCAACCTAGAACTAGAACAATTAACAATTAACTTGGCAAGCAACTTACCCTATCCAACAGCAGAGGACCTTCAAGAAGATTCACCCTTTCTCTTCAGTTCTGAACACTGTCCAAGAAAATGCTGATATGCTCAGGCAGGCAGGCTTAGCAATTTGATTCTGAAAGAGAAAGTACAACAGCAGAATTTTAGGCCAATGCCTTCTGGTTTGCAGATGCAGAATTTTTTTTAAATCTACAGATGCAGAATGCTGACAATAGTAAGATCAGAAGTACAACAACTCTTTAATGACCGAATTCAACTATTAACACTGAAATATAAAAAGAATCGTTCTTATGCATCTGATAAAGATTTTAAAGATATTTGAATGCAGGGTCAATGAGGTGCCTAGTTCACTAACATTAATATGTTGATAACTTGTTATTTTAAATCGTGTCTGACTCTTGGTGTCTGACTTGAATCGTGTCTGACTCTTGGTGACTTTATAGGCAAGTGCTCTCCATGCTATCCTGTCAAGCACAGCTTCTTTGAGATGTTGGATGTTCATCTTTGTATCAATTTTGATGTTATCAAGCCAGCAACTTCTTTGCTTGCCCCTTCTTTATTAAGAAGAACTTTTATTGTCATTGTACAAGTACAATGAAACTGTGAATGCACCCCAGCAACTATTCGCAATACAATAAAACCAGAACACTTAAAGGTGAAGATAAGAAAAATAGAGTACCCGTGTCTCCATTTGCAATTAGAGTACAATATCACAAATATACACAAAACATACATCCAACACTGACTGTGACGCTTTGCCGAGTGTAATACACAAGAGATGGATTGTACTGTAATATGTTATTATACATCTGAATGAGGTAGTGCGATTTCACATCTTTTCACATCTTAATAAGGTAGTGACTTTGTATTTATTTGCAGTTTGGATGGTCCAGGAAAAGAAACTATTTGTTAGTCTAGTGGTGTGGGATTTTATTGACCTAAAGCGCCGTCCAGGCAGCAGCAGGTCAAAAAGATAATTGCCAGGGTGTGAGGGGTCTTCTATGATGGTCTTGATTCTGCTTTGGCAGCGGGACCTGGCTAAGTCTTCCAGGGAGGGCAGAGGGCAACCAATGATGTTTTGAGCTGTGTTTATCACCCTCTGTACAGTTTTCCTGTCTTCAGCTACATACCACACACCCAGACGGTATGCCAGAGTGCTCTCCACAGAGGCTTTATAGAAAGCCAGCAACAGCTTCTTGTGTTTTTTGTTTTTCCTGAGAACCCGCAGGAAGTGCAGCCGCTGCTGAGCCTTCTTCACTATGGCCTTGGTGTTAGGGGACCAGGAGATATCAGCTGAAATATGGATGCCAAGGAATCTGACCGTAGGGACAGTTTCCACTCATTCTCCATTGATGATGAGTGGGGCGTGGTCCTGTCCATGTTTCCTGAAGTCCATAATCAGTTCTTTATGGACATTCAGTGACAGATGGTTCTGTGAACACCAGACAGACAAGTTCTCTACTTCTGCCCTATATGCCGTCTCATCCTCTCCGGGGATGAGACCAATCACAGTCATGTCGTCTGCAAACTTTATGATGGTGTTTGTTGCGTGGCTTGGTGAACAGTCAAAGGTGTACAAGGCATAGAGCAGGGGCTCAAGACACAACCCTGGGGGGAACCAATACTGAGTGTAATAGTGGAAGAAAGGTGAGGGCCAAGTCTATGGTCTGTCAAAAAGTTCTTAATCCAGGAGCACCTGGGGGTGGGGACCTGCAGATTATACAGTTTGGTTACTAGTATATCTGGGATGATAGTGTTAAATGCAGAGCTGTAGTCCACAAAGAGCATCCTCACATAGCTCTGTTTGTTCTCCAGATGACTCAGCGCTCTATGAAGTGTGATAGCCACAACATCCTCTGTAGATCGGTTTGCTCTATAAGCAAACTGATGTTGATCAAAGGAAGGCAGGAGGCAGTCTCCCCTTCTCTTACCGGAGGCTATATTGTGATCTTGACGGTGCAAGGTCCGGTCCACTAGCTCCATTGTAGCATCAGGGGTTTGTGGGTGCAGCCAGGATTCTATGACAATTAGTAGACAGCACTCACGAATTGTGTGATTGTGGGAGATCTGCAGCTTACGAGGGATCTGGCGTTTGTGAGGAACATAGATGGTAATGGGGGTTTCTGCGGTCTCTTCCTCAATTGAGTTAGCAGACCTGCTCTGCATCCCTGCTTCTGTTTTCTCTCCCTACGCCGTCTTCTACATTTGTTTAATCTGAGAACAATCCAGGGAGCTCCGGAGATCTTGCTAGTTCCAATGGGATATTGTGGGATTCTGTATAAGCACAGGTGACTTCAGTTTTGAGTTGCTGTCCTAAACTTATCAGGTCTTCTCAACAGTATGTTAGTTCGTTGCAGGATGGAGTAAAATGCAGGAACAAAAAGAAGTAGAAACACAAAAAGAAGAACAGTCGTCGGGAGCATTGAGCTGCTGTGACCATGTGCGCTGCCATCTTCTTGATCCATTAACCATTCCTAGAGTCACTGACTTCTCAAATGAATTTGCATACAAGGCATGACCAAAGTAAATCAGACATATCTTGTGATCTGGTTTTAAATGTTTCAGCACCTCTCTGTTGGTTATTCTGACTGTCCATGGCATACACAATAATTTACACCAGGACATTTCAACAACATCAATTCTTCTTCGATCAGCCATTATTCAGTGTCCAACTCTCACATCCATAAATCATTATAGCAATAGCACTTAGACTTATATACCACTTCACAGTGCTTTACAGCCCCCTCTAAGTGGTTTACAGAGTCAGCATATTGTTGCCCCAACAATTTGGGTCTTCATTTTAACCTCCTGAGAAGGATAGAAGGATGAGTCAACCTTGAGCCTGGTGAGATATGAATTGCCAAATTGCAGGCAGCCGGCTGTCAGGAGAAGTAGCCTGCAATACTGCACTCTAACCACTGTGCCACTATGGCCCATAGGGAGGGGAGACTATTGCTGTAACTAATTTGCTTTTTGTATTTATATCAATATCTCTGCTTTTCCAGATAACCATTGCAGTGCAGCCTAAGGTTGTCCTGTATTTGATTTCAAGAGTAGAACTGCCAGCATGACTAATTTTTGATCCAAGGAAGATAAATTCTGAAGTGAATTCAATTTCTTCTTTGTTGACTTTAAACTTTTCAGGTCCATATGCAGTTGTCATTATCGTTTTCCCAATATTAAGACTCAATCCTTTTTCACTTTCATCTTTGATTTTCCTGATCATTTTTTTCCAGGTCTTCCTTAATCCAACCATATGGGACTGGAATATGGTTGATTCATCATCTTCCAGTCCCAAGTCTGAATAAATAGGGAGGTTAGGGAAAGCAATGGCGAACTACTCTGTAAAAAATTTTTTTGCCAGAACACTTTATAGCAATAATATTGATAATACCCCAATATATATTTTGACTTCAGCTGGGCAGGAATGCAGTAACAATCTTGACTCAGTGCCTGGAAGCTGTGAGGGACTGGATGGTGAAACATGCTAAGATTTCCTTAGTAGGATAGAATGGCTGTTTATTCTGAAGTCTTCTAAATTTATAGGACAACTCCATATTTAGTCTGGATGGTGGTAAATGCCCTCTAGAAGGAGCTTGACCACAATGGTGGGATTCTTTTGGACTTGTAGTGGAGGTGAAGGCCATGGACAGGAGACCTTTTGCCAGTCTCAACTGTATGTCATTTTCAGCTCTTGGAATGAGAGACACTTGCAACTGTCATACATCTATTACCTTAAACTTCAATTAATCCAATTTGCTCTGTATGAAATTGTCCTTGAAAACTATACAGGTAACTTACCACCACAATATGCCCCTCCATTTTTTGTTGCTGAGCAAAACATTTGTCAAATGAATTTTGTCCCATTTTACAACCTTTGCCACTACAGTTGTTAAATGAATCACAGCAGCTGTTAAGTTAGTGACATAGTTGTTAAATGAATCTGGTTTCCCCCATCCCCCATTCTTCATTTTGTTTGTCAGAAAGTCACAAAAGGTGATTATACGGTCCTGGGACACTGCAACCATCATAAACATGAGTCAATTGCTAAGCATCTGAATTTTGATCTCATCCCTATGATAGTAAGCTTGAAAAATGGGCATAGCCCACTTTTTTCAGTGCCGCTGTACTTTTTAAGTCACTAAATGAACTGTTGCTGTAAGTTGAGGACTATCTGTAATTGCTGCAAAATGTAGCACCCTATCTCACAGATGATGGCCAGTACAGACAAGGTATATGTTTGTTGCAGGCGTTTTACTGGCTATCAATTTGTTACAGGGCATAGTTCGAAATGCCGATTATTTATAAAGCTCTATGTCGATTGGGTCCAGGATATTTCAAGAACTTCTACTCCATGTATTATTTGCCTATCAAACATCAGAGAAGGCACGCTGCAAGGCATACTGAGATATGGATGGGGTAGGGATGTGAAAATGTGCTTTCTTTGTGATGGCCTCCACTCTATGGAATATTATACCTCTGAAGTTAATATTTTCAGTAACATTCAGAAGCTCCCTTTTTGTTTCATGAGAGTAATTTTAAAATTGTTGTTCTGCAGAACCTTTGGGAAACTAAACATATTATTTCAAAGATCTGAGTCAGTGGGTTTTTATGAGGGGGGTTGTGTTAATTTTCAGGAATGGAAGATGGATACTGAGTATTGCATGTGGGCTTTATTTTCTGTTGTTATTATTTTACTTTGGTTGTAGTAACTGTAAACTATTTTGAATCTCTAAATGAAGCCGCATATACATTTTGTCCATAATAATAATCTTAAGGAAAAATGACAACATTGGAATTTGTATAGTCAATAAAACAGATGGTGCACCAACTGAATCTTAGATAGCCTGTGTGATCTCCAGACCAAGGCCATGACATAATCTGCTCCATGTATATGATATATATTCCTATATATAAGCAAAGGGAGATTTGGACCCTGACTGCAACATGATCTTCAAAGAGGAGACTGCAGGTGAACTGGAAAACAAAGTGGGCGAGATGAGCTCACTCAGTGAGCTGTTGGTTGAGGCCATTAAAACATTTCAGACATCAGAGAACATTGCAACTGAGATAGTCTTGACATCATTACCACAAACAATTATTCTAGCTATGATG